CCGAAGGGGGGGTTGAAGTTTTTAGGGGGAAAAATTCTGCCCCCCCCCCCCCCCCCACAGACCGTGACAGAGAAAATCCATACCCATCACAGACCGTGATAGAAACCCCGGTACCCAGCACAGACAGTGACAGAGAACCAGGATACCCATCACAGACCGTGACAGAGAACCAGGGTACCCATCATAGACCGTGACAGAGAACCAGGGTACCCATCACAGATCGTGACAGAGAACCCCGGTACACATCACAGACGGTGACAGAGAACCCCGGTACCCATCACAGACCGTGACAGAGAATCCCCATACCAATCACAGGTCGTGACAGAGAACCAGGGTACTCATCACAGACCGTGACAGAGAAACTATAGTTGTAAAACATCAGATAAACGGGTAGCTACAAATGTGTGGCAACGAAATGGAACAAAAGGGTTTCCATATAATTAGCAACGATAAGTCCATCGTGTTCCGCATTTTTTGATTCCGCAAGGGATTGCGCTAACAGCTTTTTTTATTCACATTGCTGTCTTCACCTTTGAATCGGTGATACAACCTTATGTTTTTGCATTGCACCCTTTTTTTTGAAAATGTAATTTATAGAACAGGTCAAAGTATTGCTGCGATTCGTTCGATTTTTCTGGTCTTTTAGCATGGGTGATGTAGAAGAATTTCGAAATGAGCGTAGAATATATCTGAAGCCGATCGTATTTTTCTGAGCCAGACTAAAGCAGCTATTTTCATGCAGTTATGGGCAGTGAAAATAGAGATGCTTTCTACATATGAAGTGAATGGAACTGGCTTGTTCAGTTTCAGTAAGGATGTGCGTGTCAGGGCGGAATGGTATAGAATCGGCCGAGAAAAAAAACATGGAAAGTAAAAAATGTCGAAAGAAAAAATATCGAAAGCGCCCTAAATAGAGTTTAAGCCAGATCTTTCAACAACTCTATATGGACAATCTGTAGTAGCATTCGTGAGTTGTACTTTTAAACGAATACTGGATCTTGAAACTCTATTTATAGCACTTTCGATATTTTTTCTTTCGACCAATTCTATACATACCTCAGAGCGCGTTAGAGGTGGGTATACATCTAGGACTTCCGTATAGTCTTAGGTATGCTGAACACTGCATATGTCTTTGTACTCACAGTCACTCGTCTTCATCAACAATAATCAAACTCACACCTTCAGTCTTGCCCTTAATGGCTATTTGGAGTGCATGGTAGCGGTTTTAGACAATAGTGAGTGGTAAAGATCATTACTTTTGTTAGCGTCAGTGATGATACACGCTGACGCTAGACGGAGATTGAGCTGGTCCTTCTAGTCTAACTGGATTAGGACATCTGCCCGGATAGCAGAAGGTGTGGGTTCGATCCCCACGAAGGTCACTTTTTCTCCGTTCTGTTTCTTTCCTTTCCTTTCCTTTCCTTTCCTTTCCTTTCCTTTCCTTTCCTTTCCTTTCCTCCGAGCCAGGCTAACAGGTCCCTTCTTCTCTAATTGTTCGAATAATGATGGTTCGATAATGAAAAACATTTTAAAACGCAACACCGAAAAAATTGTTGACTGGTTACATGAGGTTCGACTATTTAAAATATTTTCTCAAAAACTTATTCTCTTTTTTAAGGATGACGTCATTGTAGTTGATAGAGACTTTCGGGATGCATTCAGCACAATAGAAGGATTTGGTTTTGATGTAGCTTCACCTCCATTTTTAAATGGTCGTCGTCAATTCACAACAAATGAAGCTAATGAGTCTAGATGTGTTACTAAAGTTAGATGGGTTGTTGAAGCAGTAAATGCTCGACTGAAACAGTTCAAATTTTTGTCAAATACAGTGCAAAACTCTTCCATATCATCTCTTGAAGATTATCTTTCAATTGCTTGCGCAATCATTAATCGATATCGAGGTCCGGTTAAAACATCTAGCTTAGATGATGCTGAAATATCTGCAAAGATGCAAGCTTTACGTAATAAGAAAAACACTTTTGAAAAAGTAATTCTCGTTCGTATAGTAAGACATATGGTCAATGTTTTGTTTTCTTCTCTTAGTTTCTTCAACGCAATAACTTCAAAAAAATTGTCGTCTAAGTGGGATAAATTGGATCATCTAGATTTATTTACTGAGCTTCCAATTCTGTCTGAAACACATATCACTAATAATATATCTCTAGGTACTCTAATAGAATCTTGAAACTCAGTAATACAAAATTACTTTCGCTTTTACTAAGGAGTGTATCAACTAAAACGTGCACATTCATATGCAGAAGAGAAATCAGCTACAACACAACTTACAACTCTAGTGGAGTATGAAATATATAGATGCAACGAGTTTCCAAACCTTATACGAGTTCCAACACGATCTGCTCATGTCAATCGATTATCATATAATCCAATAATTCAATTTACTACAGAAGAAATTTCAGACTGGTGGTGCGATTGTCCAACAGAAAATACTCTTATTGGCTGTTGCAGCCACGTAGCCTCAGCAGTTTGGTTCCTATCTTTTCAACGATGGCAATTTCAAAAACGTTCAATGCCATCCGGTGACTTCATTAATTTTGTAACAGATTCAAAAGAACTTTCAGACTTTTACGACTCAACTGATGATGATGATGTCGATGCTTAGTGACTCGAATCGTTTTCTTCTATTCAGAATCGTAAATACTTATATACTTCATTTACATCTGTTATCTCGTTATTGTTTAGCGAATATTGACCATGTTCTTTTCCTTTTTTCTCTACTAAAAAACTCATCGTACCACATAGATATCAATATATGTAGTGTTCAATATATATCATCTATATTAATACAAACAAACCGATAATTTTTTCCCGTATTTAAGTATCATTAGAAAGCTCGTAAAAATTGGTATCTAATGATGTAAGAATTGTCGCTGCGGATCTCTCTTTTTACTTATGGAAAAGTCCAGAAATATCAGAAAGTTAGGATC